GCCCAAAGTGACCCAGATGGCTTTTGTGCCTAAGGTGGGACTAGAACTCACCGCGTCCTGTTGATTGGCCCAAAGTCACCCAGCTGGCTTTCGTGCGTAAGGTGGGACTAGAACTCACCACCACCCAGCTGGCTAAGGTTGGACTAGAACTCACCGCCTCCTGGTGATTGGCCCAAAGTGACTCAGCTGTCTTTTGTTCCTAACATGGGACTAGAACTCACCACCTCCTGTTGATTGGCCCAATGTTACCAGCTGGCTTTTGTGCCTAAGGTTGGACTAGAACTCACCGCGTCCTGTTGATTGGCCCAAAGTCACCCAGATGGCTTTTGTGCCTAAGGCGGGACTAGAACTCACCGTCTCTGGTTGATTGGACCAAAGTCACCCAGATGGCTTTTGTGCCTAACATGGGACTAGAACTCACCACCTCCTGTTGATTGGCCCAAAGTCACCCAGCTGGATTTTGTGCCTAAGGTTGGACTAGAACTCACCGTCTCCTGTTGATTGGCCCAAAGTCACCCAGCTGGATTTTGTGCCTAACGTGGGACTAGAACTCACCACCTCCTGGTGATTGGGCCAAAGTCACCCAGCTGGCTTTTGTGCCTGACGTGGGACTAGAACTCACCACCTCCTGGTGATTGGCCCAAAATCAGCGAAACCGCTTCCAGGTGTAAGGCAGGAGTAGAATTCACTGTCTCCTGCTTTCTAGTCTGGTGCCTTAACCACAAGACCAAACTTTCTTTCCTCACATTTCCTCCGCAAGTATTTTGACCAATTTATGATCCTTTTGAGCTTAGAAGACTGAACTTTAAAATTCATTAAGGCAGGCCCAACAGGTAGAGATACAAGTGTCAAGGGACAGGTTATGTTCGAGTGTTTGTGTACGAGCAGAAAACCCTCGCCCCACCGCCACACCTGTTTGCATCATCCATGAAAGGGTCACAGTTCCTACCTTTGGTCTGGGCATTTGTGTAGGAAGGCCTCCATCCTGGCATCTCCTTTACTTCCGGGTAAGACAGTGGGATGTTCCATTGAAAAAGTTGTATTTGTTCTTTCAACCAGAAATTGCGGAATCATTTCTGGATTACTATGGTTTCTCTGAGGAGTAATTGCAGAAAAAAATAATTGATTTTGTAGACAGGAACCCAATAAGCCATAAATCAGGGGTCTCCAAAATTGGCAACTTTAAGACTTGTGGGCTTCAACTCCCAGAATTCCATAGCTGGCTGGAGAATTCTGGGAGTTGAAGTCCACAAGTCTTAAGGTTGCCAAGTTTGGAGACCTCTGCTATGAATGATCAATAAACTATAAATGAGCACAAAAAGATGATTCCCCACAGATTTAAATCACAATGGCGTGCAAGACGTTTCACTGTGTGAAAATACATATGAAACTGCCCCTCCATTTTCTCCATACGTATTTGTACAGGTACAGGTAGTCCTCAACTAATGACCATTCAAAGTTATGATGAAATCAAATGCTACTTATGACAATTGGGCACAAAATTTCAATCACTAAGCAAGACAGTCGTTAAGTGAGTTTTGACCCATTTTATGACCTCTTCTGACCAAGTGAAATTGCAGTTGCAACACGGTTGTTAAGTGAATCTGGCTTACCCTTGGACTTTGCTTGTCAGAAGGTCACAAATGTGAATCATGTGACCCCGGGACACTGCAACTGTGATAAGTATGAGTCAGTTGCCAAGTGTCCAAATTTGAATCACGTGACTATGCTTCAGTGGTTGTAACTGTGAAAACGGTCATAATTCACCTTTTCAGTGCTTTTGTAACCTTGAACTGTCACTAAAGGAATTTAATCTGCGTAAAACATGCCATAAACTACTGATTTACTCTTGACTCTGGTTACACAAGGGCGAAGCCATGAAAAATAAACCTTTGAAACCATCCATAATACTCCTGATAAAACTCTTGTGTAATTCGTTAGTCTTCCAATATCTGAGGGGCTGCCCCAAAGAAGAGGGAGTCAAGCTATTCTCCAAAGCACCAGAGGGCAACACCAGAAGCAATGGGTGGAAACTAATCAAGGAGAGAAGCAGATAACAGATAATCAGAGTTGGAAGGGACCTTATAGGTCATCTAGTTCAACCCTCTGCCCAAGCAGGAGACCCTGGACCATTTCTGACAGAGGGCAGTCCAGTCTCTTCTTGAAAGTCTCAAGTGATGGCGCTCCCACAACTTCTGAAGGCAACTTCTGTTCCATTGGTTGTTTGTTCTAATTGTCAGAAAATTTCTCTTTATTTCTAGGTTGAATCTCTCCTTGTTCAGTTTCCCTCCATTATTCCTTGTCTGCCCTTCCGGTGCCTTAGAAAATAGCTTGACAACCCCCCTCCCCACATCCTCTCTGGGGCAGCCCCTCAAATATTGGAAGATGCTCTCCTGTCTCCCCCGGTCCTTCTCTTCCCTAGACCAGCCAAGCCCAGTTCCTGCAACCATTCAATGTATGTTTTAGCCTCCAGTCCCCTAATCTTCCTGGTTGCTCTTCTCTGTACTTTTTCTAGAGTCTCAACATCCTTTTTTATAGTGTGCTGACCAAAACTGGATGCAGGACTCTAGGTGTGGCCTTACTAAGGCTTTATAGAGTGGTATTAGTACCTCCCTTGATCTCGATTGCATCCCTCTGTTAATGCAATTTAGGATTGCATTGGCTTTTTTGGCTGTTGCTGCACACTGCTGGCCCATGTTTAGCTGGTTGTCCACTAAGAGTCCCTCTCACAGTTACTGCTATTGAGCCTGGTTTCACCCAATCTATATCCGAGGTGGGTCTTCAGCAGGTTCTGACCAGTTCTGGAGAACCAGTAGTGGAAATTTTGAGTAGTTCGAAGAACCAGCAAATCCCACCTCTGACTGGAGATTTTACAATATTCTTCCCTGCCACGCCCACCAAGCCACACCCACAGAACCAGTAGTAAAAAATTTTTGAATCCCACCACTGACTTTTGTTTTTCTTGCCTAAGTGTAGGACTTTACTTTTCTCTACACTGAATTTCATTTTGTTAAATGAAATTTAACGAACTTAGAGCTAAGGAAGAAATTTCTTAACAGTGAAGATAATTAACCAATGGAACAACTTGCCTCCAGAAGTTGTGAATTCTCTAACACTGGAAGTTTTTAAGAAGAGGCTGGACAGCCATTTGCCTGAAATGGTGTAGGCTTTCCTGCCTAAGCAGTGGGTTGGACTAGAGGACCTCCAAGGTCCCCTCCAACTCTGTTTATTCTATTCTAACTGTTGCAACATCCCCAAATTTGAGCCATTGGCAACTGGCAGGTATTCATGACCCTTGCATAGTGCATTTGTAACCTTCCCAGACAAGCAGTCAATGGGGGAAAGCAGATTCACTTAACTGCGGTGATAAGCATAACAATTTCTTCCTCTTTCTCCACTCTGGAAAACCCCACTCCCTTCTAGCACTGATGATGTTCCCTAAGTGGGTTATGAAACATCTGCAAGAAAGCAACCAAGCTTAGAGAGCACCAAGGACCCCCACAGTCCTCCTCCTCCTCTTCTTTCTCCTGCTCCACCTTTTCTTCCTCCTCCTCCTTTTCTTCCTCCTCCACTTTTTCTTCCTCCTCCTCCTCCTTTTTTTCCTCCTCCTCCTCCACCTTTTCTTCCTCCTCCTCCCCTCCTCCCTCCTCCTCCTCCACACAAACCCCGTTTTCTAGCATAACTGGTGTTATCACGGCAGTTCTGTAATGAAACATCCGCAAGAAAAGTAGCACGTGCAGAGAGCTGCAAGGACCCTATAGCATAAAACCTGAGTTACAAATATTGCGTTCTATTGGCCTTCAGAAATTACCCACTATTTCATTGTTCCCAATCAACATACCTCCTTACATTTAATTTCTCAAGCGTAAGTGGTCTAAAAAACATACAGGTACCCCCAAATGTCCTTTCAGAGATACAGTAAAATAACATTTTGAAAAGGCTAGTACAAAAATGCCATTCAAATCGTTTTACATCCTTCCTGCCCTCATTCAAGCTAAAGGGAAGACTCCGTTGTAGTCATCTCCATTTCTTTCCTTCATGCTCAACTTACTTGCCCAGGTGTGACAGCAACTGATTTCTCTCTGAACACATGGGGTTTAAAACCACTTGGCTGAGATTTAACAGGTTTAATAGATTAACGGATAATTGGTACAACTCTACGCCTTAACAACCTCTTTTTCAACTGTTCTTATTGCTGCTTGCTATGGGACAGTCATACAAACTCAGTTTTGTCTCTGTGTGTGACAACTCTCACACAGAAACAGTTGCCAAGTTATAGGATATCCCACCCACCCCCATGACAAGCAAGCACATGTAGGATCAGGGCTGAGGTTATCCACAAGTGTGATTGTCCCCCCCCCCCACAAAAAAAGGCTTAATTTAATTGAAAATCCTTCACCTTGCTGCACCTTGGTGGTATCTTTGGATGACTTTTCTCCGTTTTAATAGATGTGTTCAAAGGAAAATATTCAGTGTAATAAATACTTAAGAGGGATTATTATTATTATTATTTTTACCAAATGTTAGAGAGGGCAGAACGGATCTTAGGCAAGTATTTTACAATAATTAAACAGCCAGAAAACGTAGTATATTTTTGTTCCTATGTAAGTAGTCCTCAGCTTGCAACCATTTGTTTAGCGACTGTTCAATGGCAGACTCATGACCAGTCCTCACACTTACAACCGACAAAGCATCCCCACATTCACATGATCAAGGTTCAGTCGCTTGGCAACTCGCATTTATGACCTACCCAGCCAGTTTCTGACAAGAAAAGACAATGGGAAAAGCCAGATTTGCTTAAAGACCACATGATTCGGTTAACAACAGGGGTGATTCATTTAGCAACCATAGGGAAAAAGGGTTGTGAAACTGGGCACAAGTCATTAGCAGTTGTCTTATTTTGCAACAGAAGTTTAGGTCTAAATTGTGGTCATAAGTCAAAGATTGCATGTACTTTCCTACTCTGGCATCAACTTTGTATATAACATTCCACATAACCAGAAGGAAAAAACCCCCACAATAATCCTCAACTTCTAACTGCAGTTGAGAACGGAAGTTCTGTCACTAATCCAGCGGTCAAGTGAGCCACACCTGATTTCACTACTTTTGCCATGGTTGTTAAGCACATCACTGTCGTCACTAAGTGAATCTGGCTTCCCCTCTTCACGTTGCTGGTCAGAGTCTGGCTGGGAAAGTCACAAAAGGTGATCATGAGGCCCTTGGACGCTGAATACATTGCAAATATAAGCCAGTTGCCAGGCACTCAAATTCTGACCAAAATGACTACACGGATGGTGAGACAGTCATAAGTGTGAGGACTGGTCACAAAATCACTTTTTAGTGCCATTGTTAACTTAGAATAATTGTAAGTTGAGGACTATCTCAGTATAAGGTAGAGCTCAATCTACCACCACAATTGAGCCCAAAATTTGTTACTAAGCGAGACCGTTGTTAAGTGAGTTTTGCCCCATTTTACTACCTTTCTTGGCACCGTTAAGTGAATCACCGCAATCAAGGGAATCCGGCCTCCCCATTACCTTTGCTCATCAGAAGGTCACAAAAGGGGATCACAAGACCCCGGGACACTGCAACCGCCATAAATACGAGTCAGTTGCCAAGCACCCAAATTTTGATTGCATGATTACAGGGATGCTGCAACGGTCCTAAGTGTGAAAAAACAATAAATCCCTTTTTTTTTTTTTGAGTGTCAGTGTAACTTCAAATGGTCTCCAAGTCTAGATGTAGGTCTAGAACTACACAACGGAGGAAAATAATGCTCACAGTCTACCTTGAATCGTGAGACTTGGCAAATAAATTTGATAAATAAATAAAAAAATAAATCTCAAGTCGTTAAGTCGAGGACTAGCTGTATAGCAATTTCGGTAATTTGATAATTCAACGCAAGGACGGATCACGTTATGGAACAATTTTCCAACCAACTGGTTGAAACCAAGTGGTTTTTCTTGCAGGCAGGACAATTCTGGGAGCCGAAGTCCACACGCCATAAGGGATGCAAAGGTTGAGATTCACTGGGTTAATGTGTTGTGAGAATACAACCAGGGCTGGGCTGCTGGGGGTCCTCAGGGGTTCGGGAGAGCTCCTAGCTGTGCAATTCGGAGAACCCTCAAATCCCACTCCTGGCTGGCCCTGCCCACCCTCCCCTCCCAAGAGTCCCACGCCGCCCATTTTGGACGCAAGTAAGTAAGTGCAGGGTGTGTGCGGAGGTTTGGGGAGGGCGAAAACGCCCCTTCCCCAGCTGTGGTGCAGGAGGCTGGCTAGGCCTCGCCCACCATGGCCACCCCCACCCAGAAACCAAGCGGAGAACCCATTGCCAAATTTTTTTGAAGCCCTGAATACAGCAATGCCTTCCGCCAATCCTTGCCTTCTCTTCTTTCCATTTTTGAGATTCCTTGTTTAGCCTGAAGACTTCTGATGAACTCAACAAGTTTTCTTGCTCAAAATGATTCTTAAATAACGCTACAGTAAGGTGTTTTTTTTTAAAAAAAATTGCACTGGTATCAAATGACAAACTCTCACACTAGCACAGGTAACGCTGCTGCTACCGCACCTACTGCTAAATTATACTTCGCCACCACATGGTACTGCTAAACCTTAAATTAGCTGATTGGTTTAACTATATTTTGTAGAAAGTAGGAACAAAAATTTAAAAGTACAGGTAATCCTTGACTTACAACCATAAATGAGCTGAAAATTCCCATTGCTGAGTGAGATAGTGAGTTTTACAACCTCACTTGCCAGTTGAAGAGAAACATTGCAGTTGTTCAGTTTAGTTGTGGTTGTTAAATGAATCTGGATTCCCCATTGACTTTCTTTGTCAGAAGGTTGCAAAAGGGGATCGTGTGACCCTGGGACACTGCAACCATCGTAAGTATGAGTCAGTTGCCAAGTGTCCTAATTTTTGCCAAGTGTCCTAATCACATGACCGTGGGGAATGCTGCAACAGTCGTTAAGTGTGAAAAATAGTTACAAGTCACTTTTTTCAGTACTGTTGTAAATTTAGTCACAAAATGAATGTAACAAGAAAGTTCAGGATGCCTGCAGACAAAAGACTCCACCTGGGTCTTATTTTAATATATAAAATTGCACCAGAATTTTCATCAAGAAATGCAAAATGAATACTTCCTCTAGAAACACCCAAAACTGAACAGGGAAATCTACTGAGCATCAGCCAGTCTAAAACAGAGGTTTGCAGGTTTTGGTTCTGCTGTGTATATGGAATGTAAATATTTGCTTTATTTTATTAATAATTAAATGTCATCCATATTATTTCCAGATGCATAAATCAAGTTTGTTGCATGTTAGTAAGTGGTAATAACTGGCCAAGCTTGTTTGGCTTTAGAAGTAGTCTGGATGGGAGACCACCATGAAATCCCAGGTGTATTTGTGGATTTTTAAAAAAAGGAAATTGCTATAGGTCGTTCTTGACTTACAATCATTCATTTAGTGACCGTCCAGTTACAAAGGCACTAAAAAAAGTGACATGACCGTATTTGATATGACCACTGCAGCATCCCCATGATGATCACATGAACAAAATTCAGACGCTTGGCAACTGACTCGACGACGGTTGCTGTGTCCTGGAGGTCATGTGATCGCTTTTTGCAATCTTCTGACAAGCAGATTCACTTAGCAACCATGATGTACCTAACTTAACAACTGCAGTGATTTCCTTAACAACGTAACAGTTTTGGAGGTCTCATATGAGCCTGAGCATTACGTGAGCACCTCCCAGCTCCAAATGGCTGCTTTGTAGGTGCGTCATACAGGATTCCAGGTGTGGGAGTTGTAGTCTGATGACCAGCCGGGCTCATGGAAGGTGATGGGAGGCATAGTTTGAATTCTTGGATAACAGCAGGGGATAATGGGACCTGCAATCCAACAGAGGAATGAGAAAGATTTGGATTAGCACCATCAGGAGAACACTGCTGTGCTGGGGAGGATGGGACCTGTATTCCAGCAGAAAAAAAAATGAGGTGGGGGCAGCGACAGAGGCCCCACCAGCAGATGGAAGGCCAGGAACCCAGGGTGCAGCAGTGCTTGCTGGCTGTGGATAATGGGACTTGCAGTCCAACAGAACCATGGGATATGTTAACACATCTTGGGAGCAATGCTGTGCTGGGGATAATGGGGCATGTAGTCCAGCAAATAAAATTGGGGTGGGGGCTGCGCCGACAGCTGAGGAAGTGCGGTGTCTGGGGATAATGGGATTTGGAGCCCGAAAGGTTGGAAGGCGGAAAGGGAAAAAAGTTGCAGCCTGTCCCCACTGCGAGGGGTGCCCGCAGGATGATGGGAGGGGCATTTCTTAGGCTCTCAGACGCTGCAACTCGAGCCTCACCTCCAGCCGCGGAATGCGAGAACAATCCGCGACCAAGGAGGCGGGGTTGGACTAGATGACCTATAAGGTCCCTTCCAACTCTGTTAAAAAAGATCTGTTCAGACCATCGCCGCCGGACCTCTTTTGATTGATAGGGCCACCTGGCGCCTCCCATTGGCTGCAACTGCCACCTTATTCCCGCCCTCTGAGCACGCGTTGAGGGGGGGGGAAAGGGGCGAAAACCGCGCAAGCGCCGCCGTCCTTGAGCGCGCGCCCCTAACGGATCTGGAGGCGGAACTCGGGCACTGAGGAAGCTGGGAGCTGTAGTCTGAAGAATGGGCAGGCGATAGAAGCGGGCGGAGGCGTCTCATACCCTCTTTATTATTATTATAACAATTAATTGTCCTCATTGTCAGAAATTTTCTCCTTCATTCCAAATTGCTTCTCTCCTTGACGAGTTTCCACACGTTGCTTCTTGTCCTGCCCTCCAGGTGCTTTGGAGAATAGCTTGACTCCCTCTTCTTTGGGGAAGCCCCTGAGATATTGGAAGACAGCTATCATGTCACCCCCGGTCCTTCTTTTCATTGACTAGACATACCCAGTTCCTGCAACCGTTCTTCATATGTTTTAGTCTCCGACCTTCTAATCATCTTTGTTGCTCTTCTCTGCAGGGGTCCCCAAACTTCAACTCCCAGAATTCTCCTATGCTTATGCTGGCTGGAGAATTCTGGGAGTTGAAGTCCGCAAGTCTTAAAGTTGCCAAGTTTGGAGGCCTCTATTCTAGAGTCTCAACATCTGTTTTTTTATATTGTGGCGACCAAAACTGGATGCGATATTTCAAGGGTGGCCTTACCAAGACATTACAAAATGCTATTAACATTTCATGTGATCTTGATTCTATCTCTCTGTTAATGTAGCCTAGGACTGCATTTGCTTTTTTGGCAGCTGCTGTACACTGCTGGCTCATTTTAGTGATTGTCCACTAGAACCCCCAAGATCCTGTGTGTGTGTGTGTGTGTGTGTGTGTGTATCAGATGAGAAAAAGGGATATATATATATATATAGCTCAGACTGCCCTAGGAGCTGCTGATACTGTTCTACAAAGGAATTATTAGTCAACTGCACCTCTATTATATCTGGTTTGACACAGCAATCAAGGAAAACACAGATTTCAAAGGATAGTACTGCAGAAAAGAAAAAAAACAACTGCAACCAGACTGCCTTCTTCCATTGAGGACCTGCATACTGCATGGGTTAAGAAAGGGGGCTGAGAAAATATTTATAGAACCCTCACACATCCTGGACGTAAACTGTTTCAACCTCAAGACAACACTATAGGGCATTGCATGCCAAAATAACCAGACACAAAGGCAGTTTCCCACAACATGTGTTAATTCCCACCACAACCAATTCCCACAACACTGTCTTATGCCCTGGGATGTCAGACCATGTAGTAGGGTTGCATTATTATCCTTCTCATCTTTCCTATCCCTTTTGCAACTGATCACTTTGCAGTTTGTATCTTATGATTTATTTCATATCTGATAACTATCACTGAATGTTGTATTTTATGATTTTTGATGATTGTATTTTAATGATTGTGATTTATCACGTGTTGCTTGTATGTACACTGAGAGCTTCTGCACCGAAGACAAATTCCTTGTGTATGTCCAATCACACCTGGTCAATAAAGAATTATGTTCTGTTACTAATTTACAAATAAATTAATATTTTGACATTTTAATATTCTGATTTGGGTCAGCAACTTACAGGTTTAGAAGAGGAGTCTTAATTCCCCCCACCCCGTCCGATGAGAACAACAAGTTAGAAAGTACTACAAGGTAAAAAAGGTTGAAAAACACTGGGTTAATTCAAAAATCACAAAGCGGAAACAGTGTTTATTGATAGAGAAAACATTTAATGATTCTTAGTTTTGGCTTTTTTCACACACCCCAAAGCCAATGCTAGTTTTTCACACATACAGATACTATAGGTTTACAACCATTTGTTTAGCGGCCATTCAAAGTTAAAGCAGTACTGGAAAAATTGACTTCAGGTAGTCATCAATCTATAACCACAACTGAGTCCAAAATTTGAATTGCTAAGTAATATAGCTAAGTGAGTTTTGGCCCACTTTATAATGTTTCTTGCCACAGTTGTTAAGTGAATCACTGCAATTGTTAAGATAGTCACATGGTTGTTGAGTGAATCTGGCTTCCCTATTGACTTTTCTTGTCAGAAGGTTGTTAAGGACTCTGCAACTGTCATAAATACGAACCAGTTGCCAAGCCTCTGAATTTCGATCACGTGACCATAGGAATGCTGCAACAGTCATAAATGTGAAAAATGGTCATGTTCCCTTTTTCAGTGCAGCTGTAACTTTGAATGGTCACTAGAAGAATTGTTATAAGTCAAGGACTACCTGTACTGATTTGACTGGCAAGAGGGAAGGCCGGATAGTGGGAAAAATAATTATTAAGTTACAAATATTATTAATCTGAATTCAAAAGAAGATTGCCTATATAGTAGTCTGTATAGGTTTAAAATTTCTGCGAGGTTTAACATTCTTCGACTACTATTTTTGCAATTTGCAAATGGTGATCATGTGACCCCAGGATGTGACCATGGGAATATTGTAATGGTTGTAAGTATGAGGACCAGTTATAAGTCACTTTTTTCAATGCTCTTGTAACTTTGAACAGTTGCTAAACAAATGGATGTAGGTTGAGGATTACCTGTGATATTTTCCCGATCAAATAAAGCGATGGAAATGAAGAATCCAAGTCAGTTATTTCTTCATCTTGGCAACTTCAATTCTCAGAGTTCCCCGTGGTTGCTGGGGAATTCTGGGAGTTGAAGACCATACCACTTAAAGTTGTGGAGAAACGTTTATCTAAAGGGGAAAGGAATCTCAGGGGAAGAAGCAGGTTGATAGTTATAACTGGAAACCAGTATCAACAAATAGACAAGATAATAAATCTAGAGTCAGCCAACTTGGGCAAAACTTGCAGGAGTTCAAATCTTTGCTTGATTATTAGGTTTTGTTTCTCTGGAGGTAAAAAAAAAAGGGAGGATGAGAGGAAGAATCGGACAAAGCTACAATAATATGACTGTCAAGGAATAAATAACAACCTAAAATTTCAAAGTTTTCCATTGGTGCCAATTTGGCACCAGCATAAAGGATTCTTCCTTTCAAAGCCACTAATTTTCAGAATTGTGAAAAGAAGACAATAAACTTTGAGGCAAGTCATATTCAGCAGAAGATCAGGCTATTTATTGGCAGTTTGGGGCCACCATGGAGGAACGGATGCTGTGACCATCACTTGCGAATTGTCAGAAACTTTGAGCCGCAGAGGCTCCTTCGTGGTCGCCAAACGCAACAAGGCAATTCCGAACTCGTTCTCACCTGCACGGAATTTTCCAGCCGACTTCCCTGATTCGGTCAAAATTTCGGTACCTTCAGCAAGGCTTTCTAAAGGCATCAATGGCGAGAGCTGAATGGGCAGGAGCCTTTTCCGGATGACGCCCATGTGGTGAGTCCTAGCCGTCAACTCCTGACCGATATAACAGCCTTTCGTGAAACTTACGCCGTTCAGATAAACCAGGTTGGACTCCAAAGGCAAAGCGGTTCCATACGGGAGATCTTTCACGCCTTCAGGGATACCTGGAAGAAAACGAATCGATATGATTGAATTGTAGGACTGTTCTGGTTCAGCATGACAGCCAATTCTGTAGAAAGGGTTTCATTGGAAGTGAGCACTATGCTAGCAAGACTCTGCATTGTTATAACAGCACAGGCATTCCTTGACTTACAACGGTTTGTTTACTGACAGTTCAAAGTTGCAACGGCACTGAAAAAAGTGATATTACCATTTTTTACACAAACGTTGCAGCGTCCCCATGGTCATCTGGATCCAAATTCAGACGCTTGGCAACTGACTCATATTTACGGCGGTCGGAGCATCCCGGGGGGTCATGCGATCCCCTTTTGTGACTTTCTCACAAGCAAAACCATTGGAGAAGCCAGGTTCCACTTAACAACCTTGTGACTAACTTAACAACTGTAGTCATTCATTTAACAACTGCGGTTAGAAAGATCGCAAAATGGAGAAAAAAATCACTTAACCACGGTCTAGTTTAGCAACAGAAATTTTGGACTCAGTTGTGGTCGTAAGTCAAGGACTATCTGTATGTGTGGGGCTAAGGAGGAATAGCACAAGTGAGACAGTGGCTGGATAAAAGTCTGCTGAGCCCACAGAAGGAAAGGGGACATAGAAAACATTTCTGAAAGGGCCTTCCCTAGTTTCTTGGAGTGTTAGGAGGGGGAAATGTAATTTGAGACTTACATGTTTTGGTTAATGGAACCTTAGAATAATGTCAGAGCTAGAAATTCTTGTTGGGACTGCTTGCTTTTTCTCTTGACCAAGATATTGGGTTTAATGGATCCATTCAGCATATTACTACAGAGAAAATGTTAGGGCATCTAGGAGCCACCTAGTAGGAAATGGGATAGTTTTAGTCCTGCCTTAGGCATAAAAGCCAGCTGGGTGACTTTGGCCTACCCAGCCCACCTCACAGGGTTGTTCTGAGGCAAGGAGGAGGAATGGCTGAGTCTAAGGTTTCTCAATACTAATATTGGGTTTGGGATTCTGGCAATCGAGCAAAAGGAGAAGTTAATGCACGGTGTTGTTGTTTTAAAGAAAAAAAGGCAACATTTCTCAATCTCATCAGCTTTAATATGTGCGGACTTCAACTCTCCCAGGATTTCCCCACCTCTGATCTATATTTTCAGATAGAGAAATACAAAAACTTTAAAATCCTAAAACAGACACACCACAATAACACAACGGCAGGGCCTTCAGGGTCCCTTCCAACCCTATCATTCTACGCCCCATGTTCCACTTCCCCCCCTTCCACTCCTGAACCCATCACCGACCACTTTCTACACAGTGCCGTTTCCCCTTCCTAGGGTGACTGGCAGGGCATTTTACCTTGTTGGTACCGGTGCCGGTGGTAATCCTTCAGCTCTCCAAGCCGGCATCCAGAGACGATCTCCAGAGGGTTTACCTCTTTGCGGGTGATCAGCCTCCAACCCATAATCTTCACTCTGGGGTCTGTAGTTAGAACTACAGCTTGGCCAGCGTGTTGCAAACCCTCTGATGGTTCCTTTGGAACAACGGCCCACACCAAGAGGTCAAGACAGGGCGAGATGTTTAATTTCCTGCGGATCTTATAGAGCTTCAGATGTTTCCGGAAGGAGTCCAGCAGGCCTGCATCACATTCCAACAAGACATGCTGTTCTTCTTGCTTGTTTTCATGGAGCCTGAAAACCGATCCAAAAACAAGGAAAGAATTTGGCAATCTCCACGGGGAAATCTATTTACTCCCTCTCCAAACTTGGCGGCTTTAAAGCAGGTGGACTTCAATTCCCAGAATTCCTCAGTTAGCTGGAGGATACTGGGAGCTGAAGGCCATCATCAAGTTGCCAAATTTAACTTGCTCTAAGCGTTAAGCTCCTCTCCTGGCACAGATAACATGCTAACATCTTAGGCTGTTTCCTGTAGCGGGATAGGCCAAATTGTGTTATGAAAAGCTACTGTGTTTGGGGGCTGCTTTCGTGTTCTCTGCCCCTGGTGCTTTCCTTGCAGACATTTCATGACCCAGCTAGGGAACATCGCTAGGAGTGGGGGTTGGTGGGTAAGAGGAGGAGCAGGAAGAGGAGGATGTGGGGGTTCTTGGTGCTCTCTGAGCTTGGTGGGGTTGTTTTTCATACCTTTCATGACCCAACTATGTAACATCATCAGTGCTAGAGGGGAATGGGCTTCCAGCTAGGTCAACTCTGGAGGGTTTGCACAAAATAAAAAAGATAAAAAGATGGTACAAAACTACTAAAAAGCAAGAAAGAGGAAGTGGATTCACAAATGTCATCTTTTTCTTTTCTTTGGCACGGAGGGTCATGTAGAATGGATTTTGTCATACTTGCAAAATGGGTTTCCGTACTACTGTTGCACTGGCTAATTCAAATTGGTTTCCTTGTATTTTAATTTGCCTTAAGAAATAAGACAAATTAGGATACAAGAAAAACCCACTTTAGTCATTGCAACAGTACTACAAAATTTTGCAAGTAAATTATAAAGCCCATTCTACGTGGCCCTCAGCATCCGTCTTTCCCAGAGCTCGGAAATGCCCGCGGAAAAGGGACACTACAACTCCCATAGTTCCCTGCCGCCAATGGCGGCGGATGACGAGCGTCGCATTCCTACCACGGCTCGCCCGGCTGAGAGCACCGTACGCACCTGTACGCAATGACGTCATAGAGGCACCTCCCCTGGACGTTGAGGGCGTGTGCGTAAAGCGCGCGAGGTGCGGCTCCGCCCACCTCTGCGAAAGGGGTTACGTCATTGGTGAGGAGTCCTTGGAGAAAAGAGAGTGTCTCGGGGCCTTGCAAGCGGAGGAGCGCTCGATGGCTCAACGGGAAGCAAACGGCGGTCGTTCTTATATCGCCGCCGCCGAGGTGTAAATTTCGCGGGAGGCCCCGCCGCAGCGCCTTGCTCGCCCTCACCAGCATGGCGGCCTGGCGGAGAGCGACCAAGGACCTGGAAAAGACCTCGGCGCCGCCATCTTATGTATGGTCGAGGGTGGAGCGAAAGGGCGTGAGGCGGATTTACTCAAGTACGCAAGCGCAGAGGCTTCTTCAGCTCCTTTCTTGGGCAAGTGGCGTAAAGGGGCGGGGCCAAGATCCGCAGGTGGCTCATCATTGGCCGAGTGGTTCTTCCGGCCTCTGCGATCCATGTGCTGAATGCGGAAGCGATTTGGGGCCTTTATTACAAAGACTTATTTTAGCATGGCCTAACAATATATATATTAACATTTCACCAAAATTAGTAAAACATACTAAACTCTAAATTTGAGAAATATTATATTCATACCAATGTCTAGGCCATTTAACTATTGAAAGCACAGCATCCATTTATGTTTTTAAAAAATCAGATACTGGACCTTTTTGAATATGTGGCAACGAAAACGAAATGTCTATGGAGGTTCTCAGTGATCCAAGTTATGTTCCCCAAAGGTGGTTTTTCAAAAAGCAACTGAGCTTTTGTTTTTCCTTGAAGACCTCATCCAAGAAATTTCTTCAGTTCTCTCTCTCTCTCTCTCTCTCTCTCTCTCTCTCTGTGTGTGTGTGTGTGTGTGTGTGTGTGTGTGTGTGTGTGTAAGGGTTAGTTCTGACAGCTTGCTTCCCCTCCATCATCCAGTCAGAACTGATGAAGCTTCTTGGATGGGAAGTGAAATGTCTTCAAGAAACAAAAACAAAGCACCTTTGGGACAACCATGCCCTGGATGATTGAGAATCTACAGCGAGTCCTCAACTTACAACAGTTCATTTAATGACCATTTGAAGTTCCAACAGCACAGAAGAAAGTGACTTATGACCATTTTTCACACTGACGACCATTGCAGCATCCCCATGGCCATGGGTTCCAAATTTAGATGCTTGGCAACTGATTCACATTTATGACGGTTGCTCTGTCGCAAGGTCGCGCGATCCCAATTTTGTGACCTAACAAAGTCAATGGGGAAGCTGGATCAATTTAACAACCGTGTTACTAACTTAACAACTGCAGTGATTCACTTAGGAACGGGTGGGGGAGGTTCAGAAAATGAAGCAAAACTTATAACAAATGTCTCACTTGGAAGCATAAATTTTGGGCTCAGTTGTGGTCGTAGGGACTATCTGTACACAGACAATTTGCCTTTCCTTATAGTGCTTTAGGCAGAATGCAAGCAAGGGTGTGTTTTTTTCCCCAGTTCCTTTTTTCAAGAGACAACTGGGCTTTCTGGCTTTTCTTTGAAGACATTTTGCTTCTCATCCAAGAAGCTTCATCAGTTCTGACTGGACAGTGGTGGGGAATAGAAGGAAGCTGTCAGAATTAATCCTATGCATTTTTTCTTTCTACAGCAGGGGTGGCCAACCTTGGCAACTTTTAAGAGTTGTGGCAGCTCAAATACCCAGTATTTCTCAGACAAGTTGTCAAGGTTTGACTTCCCTGATCTATACTGAATCTCCATTATCAGGGAAACTCAAACCCAGCAAACTTTTTTTTTTTTTTTGCACCAGAGGATATTTTAAAAGGTTGGAATGTCTTTATCTTCACAAAGCTTGCTTTTTGGCAGTTGCTGTGATAAAATGAACAAGTCACAGCCACACTCAAAACCATTTATGACCAACCCTAGGAATGTATAATGACCTTTGCACCATCCCCACGGTCATGTGATCAAAATTTAGGCACTTGGCAACCAGCATTATTTACGATGGTTGCAGTGTCCCATGATCATAGGATTTCCATTTGCAACTTTCCCAGCTGGCTTCCGAAGAGCAAAGTTAATGGAGGAACCCAGATTTGCTTAAAGACCACATGAGTTGCTTAATAACTATGGTGATTAGCTTAACGGTTGCAAAATGGGTATGACTCACTTAACCACTGCCTTCCTTGGCAAATTCTGATCCCAACTATGATCATAAGTCAAAGACTACCTGTAAAGTGAATGGAGTGTCCACTCTGCTTCTAGAGTTGCATACTGCCCAAGAGGTGCATGAATGAATGAATCTATCTTCCTATCATCTGTGTGTTTGTGTGTATGTAATCCATCTATTTTGTGTGTGTGTGTGCGCGCACGTATAATATATATCGGTCTGTCTGTCTGTCTATCTCAGTAGCACTTATATATATATTGCTTCATAGTGCTTTACTATGCACCATGAAGTAGTATATAGCATATTGTGCCTAACAATCTGGGTCTTCATTTTACCAACCTTGGAAGGATAGAAGTCAGCATCAACCTTGAGCTGGTCAGGATCAAGCTGCTGGCAGTCACCAGTTAGCCTGCAATGCTGCATTCTAACCACTGTACCACCATGGCCCATCCATCTATCCATCATCTTTGTACTACCTACCTACCTCTCTCTGTCATCCTCTACCCACCCACCCAATCCACTATTTAACTAACTCTTTTATGTGTCTGTAGCTAGTTATTTCTTTGGGCCTAGGGGCAGCATGAAAAAAAGTACTGAGAACTCAAGATGCAGTAAATTGACAAAAGTTTTGGAAACCTGATTCTATGGGACACTTAGAAAACCCTTTTCCCTAAATAAATGCACCACCACATCCGGAATATGATGAAACAATAGGAACATTCTGTTCCGTTTTATTAGTACTGAACACTGAACATCCAAAATTGTTTACTGTTTGTAAGTAATTATTCCACGTACAATTTGTAAATAGCATTTACAATGAAACATATTAAGGATCAACGACATACTTTCTGGCTGTGTTCACACAAAAGATTCAATATAACGAATTCATCCCTTTTCTCAGCTCAGATAATAATTCTCAGAATTTTTAATCACACCCAGTAAATTTGTACACTTCAAAATAAGCAGGTGTCAACACAGCCACTTTCTATAACTGGGTTGTTTAAACGTGTCATATGAACGCAGCCAAAATGGGTTTCTTACACAACTGGCAAAGGAGGAAAATCAAGAAAAAAGACAAAAAAAAAAAAAAAAAAAAGAGGTCAAAACTCTGTTAACAGCATAGATTTGTTATGGCTATTTGGTTAATTTCAAGTATTTCCCAGCGGAATGGAACGCGAACGGCAGTGTGTATGTGTAGGCTTTGGTTGTGCGGTTGTCGAAAGAGAACAGTGGAGCTGTCTCCTCTGCTCAAAGGAGGAAGAAAGATGCTGGTATCTCAAAACCACCATATCCATACTAAAATCCTTAAAGTTTTGTGGGCACAACTGCTGACGGAAACAATTACTGTTAAAAAAGCTTTTTTTTTTTTTTTTTTGGCAATATAGATTAATCTTTTGGTAATTCGCTTTTTTTTAATACTGCAAGTATATAAAGAATCTTAAAAACTGTACAACGTTGGTTCTACCTTCTGATGTAGGATGTCTTCCCACGTATTGAGCTAAAGATTCAGGATAACAGAATGGAGGAATTGAATTATTTGGTGCATGTTATCATTATAATCAAATTTATTTGCTGCCCATCTCGAGGTTCAAGGCAACTCTGGATATATTGATCTAGATACCCCCAAAAATTACAGATTTTTTTTAACCCTGCCATCCCAATCTAAACAAACACAATGCTGATTTGTACACACTTTCTTAACAAAAGGATCTATTTCTTTTTTTTTTTGAACTAATTATTCACTTAATTCCATAACGGCCTTTTCTTCAAGACTTTTTCTGAAGGACATCATCTGATAATCGAAGATGAAAAAAAAGAAAATTGACCGGGTCAAGACAGCAATGCTTTCACTATAAGTTGTGTAATTTTTTAAAATACTGTCACTATGTTGATCTCCAAGTGGTCTCTTTTCAGTCCTACAATCCTGATCAGCCCGGCAAACTAAGTTGCAGAATTGGGGGTTCGGCCCCTCACAAAACAGACCCGTGAATCACCTATTTTGAGCATTTCTGTTTTCTTGTCCATAAAGGCAGGGTTGTTTTTAATTATGATTTTCATCCAGGACCAATCTTAAGCGAAGCTGAATTATTTTTTTGAAAACAAGACACCCCCCCCCAGCAGATTCTTGTTTCTCAAACCTGACATCAAAAATAAGAGTTTCCAGAATAATTTTTAGGATAATCCTCCACTGCTGAATCTTCATTTCGGGATAAATAGGGGTGAAAGAGACCTGTTTCTGCCCACTGCAGAGTTGTAAACATAGATTTTTCTTCGTTCCGTTGGAAGAAAGTATTTTTCCTTCAAAAATTAATTCTTATTTGTCTGAATCTTCTTATTCTCCCTTGGGGTGAGCTCTAAGAGAGATTTGTAGTAACAGAGTGGATTTGTCTTCTTGAGGCCACTTCGCTTCTTATCGTACCCGAGGTGTTCAACGTATCTCATGATGCAACTTGATGGTCTACAAGTTAATGGAATGATCTCCTGAAAATTACCAAATGGGACTCGGGACTGGTACTTCACGTTACGTACATGAAACACATGAAACTGTGGACTCCATAGAGACATCTTGAAGTCTTCCCTGTGCGACTGATCGATGCTTGCAACCATTTTCCATTCCTGAGGCCTTCACATCCCGGTGAACGTCAGTGACACCAACCCGGAGGGCTAACTGTGCAATATACAAATTCATGGCGTGAAAATGGAGACCTGTGTTTTGGCAGTGGATAAAATAACGTTAAGGCTATTTCCCCCCAACATGGAGTAATAGGGTTGGAAGGGACTGTTGAGGTCTTCTAATTCAACCTCCTGCCTAAGCCTCCAGGTCCTTTAATTCCCAGTTGACATAAACGCTTCTGGAGAACTTCAACGTAGAAGGGCTTGGTCTTAGAGATATTAGGAGCAGGTAGATTTTTATAGAAGTTAAATAAACAGTATTAAGTCTCTCTTGGCTGATCTCAAGACCTAGGCAGGATCGGACTTTGTTATGGAGGACTTAAAATGGGAGATGCAAAACCCCTCAGAGATGTAGGCTAGACAAGGAGACACAAAATGTTCTGGAAGAAAACAACAGCAAACAGTGTCTGAATTATATTCAAGAAATCTATTTCCAGATCAGTAGGTTTCTCAAAACCTTGACAGCTTGAAGAGATGTGGACTTCAACTCCCAGAATTCCCCAGCCAGCGTGAAGAATTCTGGGAGATGAAGTCCATAAGTCTTCACATGGTTAAGGTTCAGAAATACCGGCCTAACTTGAACACCCTTTGTACAGAAAGTGTAAGAACTCTCCCCTTATACACATTTGAATTAAGGAGGTCTCTGAATTGCTTGCACATGTCTTATTGCACCCTGTTCATGTCATCTTCCTTATTCTTCCCGCCATTTTTGAAGCTCAGCAACTTTTAACACAAGTTGACTTCAAGTTCTAGAATTCTCCAGCCACCATGAGTGGACTTCAACGCCCAGAATTCTCCAGCTGTGGAAATCCTGGGTGCTGAAGTCCACACCTATCCAAACTGCCAAGGTACATGAAGTCATCAAGGGGAAATCTTGATTTCATTTAGGTTTCTCAGTTACTACATCAACCATAGAGAAGAAGAACCTACATTTTACTTCATCCCGAGGAACAGCCCAGGATATCTGACTAGAAGGCTAGACTAAGGGAATATTGGTTTGAAGGATCATGGTTCTTCTTGGGCTATTTGTAAATCCATATGGAAAAATGAAATAGCAGGGATTTAGAAAAGCACCATACAATATCTCCAAACCTTTGAACGGAAGATGTAATGTTTCACCACCAGCAACATCTTGGAGACTGTTTTTCCCCTCGGCATAATGCAAGGACATCGGATTCACTGTCTCACCCAAATGAAGCCCTGGCCATCTTGTTTTAACACTAATCTCTGCCCACAAAGATTCAGAGAAGACGTTTTCCATTATTCTCTTGCTGGCTGGGGAATTCTGGGAGTTGAAGTCCACCATCTTCAAGCAGCCAAGGTTGAGAACAACCGCTTTACAGTGATTAAATTCACTTTCCTCACTCTGCAACTTTTGACAGGGCACAATCCTTCATATCTCCCGGAACTCATTTCTCAGGGTAGTTGCAGAGCAGGAAAAAAAATAAAAGAAAAACCATCCCTAAATGCACAATGCAGCTGAAGCCCACCCCAGAAACTGACTTTAGAAATACCTCCTCTCGTACAGCTCCATTTTCTTGGAGGCTCCAAGAAAGACTCCGCTTTCTTGGAGAAGACCAAATTTGCGAACCACATTGCCAAAATCACAGGTTAGTGTATCTTTAGTCACACTTACATAGGTTTTCAGTTTCTAAAATCTATCCATCAATGGATACGTCCCACGATTTAGAACTACAACATTTTGGGAACATCTCCAGATTGCCATACCTCTAAGGACCTGGAAATTAATTCAGTTTGGGATTATTTTAGCCCTCAAAAGAAATCCACCAAGGAAGAGACAACATGGTTCGGCCCCACAATTGCTTAGCACAGGAGGAAAACCCCCAACAGAGAGGTCTACGGCAGCCCACCATCCACAGATGATGGGGTTTTTTTTTTCGTAAACAATGGACGTCATTTATTTAAACCATGTTCCCATCCTACCACAATCACAGGGCAGGAGAAACAGAAAAGTGGTAAAAAATTTAAAAACCCTTCCAACACACCCTTTTCTCCAGCCCCAAGTCTGTCCTAACTTAAAAAAAAAAAAAAAGACTCATAATCTAAATTATTTTGCAGGCACCAAGCTGGGAGAAGCAATCCTGTCTCGATAGGAAGCAAATGTCAAACTAACAAAGAGGAAGGAATTGGTTTGTTGATTTAAAAAAAAAAAAAAGGCAGCTTGTCAGAAGGAAGAAGTGGAAAACTCGGACAAGCGAGGAGGACAAGAAAAGACGAAGAAGGATAATGCGGTAAATGCCACACCTGTTTCAAAAGGGAGATTATATACCTGAGATTCCCCAACCACCAAGGCAGGTTGAGAAATTGGGCTTTTGGCCAAGGTTTTATCGACAGGAATTTATTTCTGTTTCTTCTGGTCTCTGGAGACTTGAGTCAAAGGACCCATCTTTCCATCCGCGCCTGGTTTGAATCTTCCCTGGAAGAACAACGCTAAACCTCAAGGATGGATCGGTCTCGCGCAGACTTCTAGCGCAAAGATTCTGCTTTACCCAGAAAATGAGAGATGGGATCAACCAAGCAAGGGATTGAGAAAAGGCCTCTGGTGGACTACCGGTTGGTGTCTCACTTTAGCCTTGTTCTCGTAAGCAAAGAAGAGACCCCACCACCCCCTGATGCATAGGACCCTTTGACCTGTTCCTCCTTCCTAAATCCATACGGAGTTTTTCCCATCTTTGCCATTGACGCTACCCTTCTCTGAACTGGTTTTTGGCTTGGCCCCGTGTTTCTCCTGTGCAATGTTGGCCCTGTTTTGCTCTGCCATGGATCCACTGGAGCCCGGGCTGCTGGTTCTGGAGGGTTGGTTTTGCCCCTGGGTGCTGTTGTAGCTCTGGAACGCGATGTCCAGCTGCTCCTGAGCCACCCGTAAGTGTTTATGGAGGGTCGACAAATCAGGGGGGATGTTATCGTCGGGGCTGGTGCACTGCTGCTCCTGGACTACGTTGGCCAAGTTCTGCTCGTGAGCCATCAGGCTGTTGGGAATCTTGGCTGGTTTGTCGGATTTGACCACCAAGTTGTACTCGGGTGGGCAGGAGATGTTCTTGGGGTAAGCGGCGTAATTGTACGGCGGCTGTCGGAAGCTGTGGATTTTCCGTTCTCGAATGGCGTCCCGGATGGTACCGATGCCCAGATGGCACATCTCCGCCAGGTTGAGCAACAGACAAAGGCAGCTGACCACGTACATCACCAGGAGGAAGATGGTCTTCTCCGTGGGCCTGGACACAAAGCAGTCGACGTTATGTGGACAAGGATCACGGGTGCAAAGATAGTAGGGCCTCACCTCGAAACCGTAGAGCATGTATTGACCTATCAGGAAGCAGACTTCGAAGGAGGCCCTGGTGAGAAGCTGGAAGACATAGATTTTCATCAGCCCTTCTTCTTGGATGTGTCTCCGGCCATCGTGTTTCTCCCCCTTCTTCTTCTCCTCTTCCTTGGTCTTCTCCTTCTCTTCGTTCTCCACCATCTCCTCGGAGATCATAGGTTCTTCTTCGGCGCCCAAGGAGTCCTCCAGATGGTGGGACGCCTGCCAGTTGAGGACGAACTGCTTCTTCTTCTTTTTGAAGCTCCGAAACCTCTTCTTCTCCTCCTCCGAGGACCTGGCGATCCGGTGGATGGCGTAGCCCAAGTAGATGACAGACGGGGTGGAGATCATGATGATCTGAAAGACCCAGAAGCGGACATGTGAAAGTGGGGCGAAGGCATCGTAGCAGACGTTATCGCAGCCCGGCTGTTTGGTGTTACAGGTGAACTTGCTCTGCTCGTCCGAGTAGATGGACTCGCCGCCCACGGCCGTCAGGACTATGCGGAAGACTATGAGAACCGTCAACCAGATCTTCCCCACAAAAGTGGAGTGGTTGTGGATTTCTTCCAGCAGGCGGGTGAGAAAACTCCAGCTCATGTTGGTCATAGGGGCTGATCATTTACGGCCTGCAAGATAAAAACAGGAAGATGGGAATATATAAATTCGTTCCTTTCTTCCTTCATTCAATCATTCACTCACTGAATCATTCATTCATTCATTCTGTGCTGTCCTTGGTGGTCTCTGAGTTGGTTGTTTTGCTGAAGACGTTTCATGACCCAACTAAGTAACATCATCATCATTAAAAGGGAGAGGGGTTTGCAGGGAAGAGGAGGAGGAATGTGGGGTCCTTGGTGGTCCCTGAGCTTGGTGGTGTTCTTGCAAATGTTTTATGACCCTATTAGGTAATGTCATCAGTGCTAGAAAGGATCAAGATTTTTTTCTATTCATATACAATGTAAACTTCTCCTCCCCCTCCCTTTTCCCTCTCTTTCCCTTCTTATTTCTTCTTTTCCCTCTCCCCTTCCTCGCTCCCTCTATTCCTCCTTCCCTCTCCCTTCTCTCTTTCCCCCACTTCCCCTATGTGCAAGACCCTTCAGTCCCATACAGTATGCCCCAAACCTGTTACCTGGGAGGACTGCCTAAATCACAGCTTGGTGCCAGGTTAAAATTAATTACAACTCAATACTTTGCTGTGATCAATGCCTTTTTTTTTTTTGCAGGATCTAATTTGGGTCGTTCACCGGGACCAAAGGTTTTGTCTTCCATGCTAGAGCCCATCATGAGGGAACGTCTCTCACCTTTGGGTTATTCTACGCATAATATTTACGTGGTGCCTGGTTGTATGTGGCTTTTCAGTTACTGATTGGGGTGTTGATGGCCAGCGATTAAGTCATTGGCTGTTATTTCTTTGGGCTGCCAAGTCCTCCGCTGCTCAGAACAAAGGCATACATTTATTTTCACAGCTATTAAGATTGTTAGCAGAGCAGGTACAAAAACAGCCAGGGAAATGACTGATGCCTGGAAAACGGGCCCTTTGTCAGTCAACAGGAGTGCTGGTTTACCACCAGCTTATCAAGCACTTAGGAGTCTAAGGACTGGCAGCAAAAGGAAACAACAGCCAGCGACTTAATTGCCAGCCATCAACAGTCCAATCAACAACTAAAAAGCCACACACAACCAGACACCACATAAAAGCACACACTCTGCTAGAGAGAGGTTTCCTCCAGCAGAGTCCGAAAGCTCGGAAAACTAATCCTCTGGTTCCGACGACCGACCCAGATTGGATCCTGCAACGTTATCATGGGACACATATATTCACCTTCAACACATTTTTTGTTTTTAGCGCATCCTAATTATGCTGATAGGTGGCAGCATTTCATCAGCTGTGACCTTGGAAAGCTAAGCAGAGTGGGGCCTGGCTGGAGTTTGGATGGGAGAACAGCTGGTTAATAAACAGTGAAGGGAAAAGTTGAGAAAAACATCCCGGAAAAGGCAAGGCTCTTGTGTACCTCCACGGAGTAAGTGGAGGACCTGAGAGGTGCCGGATAGTTCACCACCGGAGTAACTTAGGTACTCAATACAAGTGGCCCTCAACTTACAATCATTCATTTAGTGATCGTTCAAAGTTATAACAGCACCAAAAAGGGGAGCTTCAACCGGTCCTCACACTTATGTCGGTCAGACAGCACCCCCAAAGTCACATGATCAAAATTCGGCCACTTGGCAACCGGCATGTATTTATGACTATTGTGGTGATCACCCTTTGCAAATTTCTCAACAGGTTTCTGGCAAGCAAAGTCAGTGGTGGCATCCGGATTTGCTTAATGACCACGGGAATCAATAATTGTGGCACAAAAGGTGTGAAACCGGGCACGATGCACTTAACGACTAACTACCTTTCTTAACAACCAAAATTCTGCTCCCTATTGTGGTAATAAGCTGTAGTAGTTATGCCTCCTGTAATACTAAAGGAGTAACATGAGGTACACGGTGGCTCAGTGGCTAAGTCGCTGTGCTTGTCGATCAGAAAGGTTGGCAGTTCGGCGGTTCGAATCCCTAGTGCCCATGTAACGGAGGGAGCTCCCGTTACTTGTCCCAGCTTCTGCCAACCTAGCAGTTCAAAAGCATGTAAAAAAATGCAAGTAGAAAAATAGGGACCCCTTTGGTGGGAAGGGAACAGCGTTCCATGCACATTCGGCGTTTAGTCATGCCAGCCACATGACCACGGAGACATCTTCAGACAACGCTGGCTGTTCGGCTTTGGAACGGAGTTGAGCACTGCCCCCTAGAGCTGGAAATGACTATCACGGATGCGCGAGGGGAACCTTTACCTTAACATTAAATGATACAATAACACTCATCATTCATTTACACGTTGCTTCCCATAACAAAAAGAAAAAAGAAAACAGTTTACAACAACAAAGCAAACAGCGTGTCAAAAAGACGCACGCTTCCAACACAATGCCCACTAAAATAAGCAGGCGAATGGATAGAGAGTCCAAACAGCAGGCATCACCACCAGATGGATTCGTAACTGGCTCACCAAGTCCTGAATGAAACTGCGTCTACGTGGAGGGAAGTAAGGCAGTGAGGAACACCAAGGCTCTGTTTTAGGCCCAGGACTCTTCAACATCTTCATCAATGACTCGGACAAGGGGATAGATAGGGAACTCATCAAATTAGCAGGTGACACCAAGCTAGTAGGAATAGTCAACACGCCAGAAGGATCTCGAACCAAATTGAACACTGGACCTTACCTAACAAAATGAAGTTTAATGGTGAGAAAAGTAAGATTCTAACTTTAGGCAAGAAAAACCAAATGCACAGGTATAGCGCAGGTGGTATCTGGCTCAAAAGCATAACTGCAAAAGAGATCTTGAAGTCTTATTGGACAATTGCTTAAAAGATGAGCCAGCGGTGTGCTGCTGCAGCCAAAAAATCCAGCACAATCCTAGGCTGCATTAAGGTGAAGGTTCCGCTTGCACATACATGATACTCGTTTTCAGCTCTAGGGGGCAGTGCTCATCTCCATTACAAAGCCGAAGAAGAGCCAGCGCTGTGCGAAGACGTCTCCGTGGTCATGTGCCCGGTATGACTAAATGCTGAAGGCGCATGGAACGCTGTTCCCTTCCCACCAAAGGGGTCCCTCTTTTTCTACTTGCATTTTTTTTTTTACATGCTTTCGAACCGCTAGGTTGGTAGGAGCTGGGACAAGTGACGGGAGCTCACTCCGTGACGCGGCGCTAGGGATTCGAACCGTCGAACTGCCGACCTTTCTCTATTGACGAGCTCAGCGTCTTAACCCCTGAGGGAAAGGCTCAAGATCACAAGAAGCATTAATACTGCTTTATAATGCCTCGGTAAGGCCACGCTTGGAATACTGCATCCAGTTTTGGTTGCCATGATATAAAAAAGATGTTGAGATTCTAGAAAGAGTGCAGGGAAGAGCCAGAAGCTGCAAAGAAGAGCTCCCTCCCTCCCTCCTGTCTTCCTCCTTCCTTATTTATACGATCGTGGGGCTGGAAGGGATCTTGGAGGTCATCCAGTCCAACCCCCTACTCAAGCAGGAGTCCTCAAACAAACAAGTGTCCAGTATCTTCTTGAAAACCTCCAGTAATGGAGCACCCACAATTCCAGAAGGAAGGCCGTTCCATTGGTGACTTGATCTCCCTAACTTCTTTTCCCAAAGTCCAAAATCTGCTTTTCTCTTTGGTTGTCTCTCACGTGCGTGCACATAGTGTATAGGCAATCCTCGACTTACAGTGGTTCGTTTACTGAGCGTTCGAAGTTACAACGGCACTGAAAAAAGTGATGTGACCAGTTTTCACCCTTACGAATCGTTGCAGCATCTCCAAGATCACGTGATCAAAACTCTGACACTTGGCAACTGGCTCATATTTATGACGGATGCAGCGTCCTGCGGGGGCGGGGGGTGGGTGGGAGAAAGTCCCAGGAGCCCCCTTTTGCGACCTTCTGACAAGCGAAGTCAGTGGGGGAGGCAGATTCACTTAACAACCGTGTTTCGAACTTAACGATTGTGGTGATTCACTTAACAATCGTGGTAAAAAAAAAAGGCTCTAAAATGGGGCAAAATGCACTTAACAACTGTCTTGCTTAGCAAGAGAAATTTTATTGTGGTCCTAAGAGGAGGACTATCTGTAGCTGAGATGGAACTGTTAGGAAACATCTTTTAGTAACCTCTTTCAAGTCAACTACATGTAGGAGAAACCTCTGTTGATCCAAAATGGATTAATTATGGCTTGAAAATCTTTTTTAAAGTTTTAATTGATTGCTCCAGAATGATATGCAAATGGAGTACTTTTTAAAAAATTAACTTTGTTTGCTCTGGAATGCTTTTTGAACAGGTAGCATCTTAAAAAATTAGATTGATCCAGAATGATTCTTAATTGATGAAAATCTTTTTTTTTATTTCATTGATTTCCCCCAGAATTATTTTTAATTTGATAAATGAGGTCTTCTTTTGTTGATTACCTCATAATGATTCTTAATTGATAGATGGAACCTTTTTTTTTACTTAATTGATTCCTCCAGAACTGTTCTTAATTGATAAATTAGGTCTGTTTTTAATTTAAAAAAATGCTTGCTCCAGAACTATTTTTAACTGATAACAGAATTCTTTTAACATTTTAATTCATTGCTCCAGAATCACTTTAAATTGATAGATTCCTTTTTTTTAAAAAAAGAAGTTTTAATTCATTGTTCTGGAATTTTTTGATTGATGATGGGAGTCTTCCACTTGGAAATATCCAGAAACTGAACCAACCAAATATATATCGAATGATAGAAAGAAAAGGAAGCAAGAATCGTGCTAGAAAATAAGATATTTCCAGAGCATGCATTTTTCTCAATCTATATTTGTTCAAGCAGCTTCATCCTGGATCCACCACAAGAATAGAAACTCAGAAGTGTCTTTTAAGAGAGCAAGAAGACTTTCACATTAGTAAAAAGAAAAATATTGCAAATATACTCAAAGCAATGCCTGCTTACTGTTTTTGACATTCTCAATGCAATGTAATTCACCAACCTTTTATACCGTTGTCAATATGGCAGTTTTTTCATCCACAAGACTTTGCTTTTGTGGGTTGAGGAGAAGCAATTTTGAACC